AAGAGCACTTAATTTGATTGTAGGTGGAAATTTATTAAATAAAATTGCATTTTCCAGACACTCGCCGTGATTGTCAAGTCCTTTATCAAACCTCGCCGACAGGCATGGATAATAAATAAGTTTCGATATGATTTGTTTTAGTTTGCAGCGAGGCATGGGAATATTGAAATATCGAAGTACGAAAATGTTCATATATAATACATATACGGTGTATACAATTTAAATAAATAATAATAGTTTAATTGAAACGGCCTAGAAAACTGTGCTTGTGACGTGCATACATATTTTTACGTTTATTTATTTTAGGTTTTTTTTTTTGTAAATTTTTGTTTGACTAGTTGTAGTTAAAAGAATTTGATTGTTAATAATTGAAATCGTTTAGTTGAAAAAAGAAGAGAACACGCTGTAGTTTTGTTGGTGTGCCTACCTTGTGCAACTGCGTTTGTTTTATACTCTTATTTCTTTTGTTTGCTTTCGTTTAGCTTTATTTATTTGTATTTTTCATATATTTTTTCGATTTAAATATATAATGGGTTTCTTTACTTTTTGCATATCTTTTGTTTTGTTTTGTTCTCTTGCATTTATATTTTTGGGTTATCAGTCTTTTATATATTAGCCATCGCAAAGTTCAACGAATAAATCTGTACGAAATGAAAGAGAAATACATACAATATATAGAAGGATAACGCAATAGTTTAGCTCTACATCGGCAGTCTCTCCTTATCTCTACAATATGGTTTTGGTGTCAGTTAGTGTGTGTGAAGGATTCGGGATCGAATCTCTAAACGCGAGACTTGCGTCTCATGTGGTTGTTTCGTATCGCCGCCTTACTCTCTAAGCAGCTCTAAGCCCAAGTCCAGGGATCGGGCGATCCCGGAACTGGGTTCCGCTTGCCGCAGGACCAAAAGGACAACTCACCGGGCTGTAGTTCAACGGGGCGCGGCTGACGGCGATGGGGAAGCCGGACGGCTGCGGGCTGGTGGCCTGCACGTAGCCCACATTGTCGGCGGCCGCCGAGCTGTACATGTCGATGGTGGGGCCAGGTGAGTTGGTGGAGGGGAATCCCTGCCGGGTGGCCGTGTTGGCGGCGGCGGCATGCGGCGATGCCGACGGTCCATAGCTGTGGGCGGCCGCAGCAGCCGCCTGATAGTTGTTCATCACTGCAATAGAGGCACAAAAGGTCGGGCGTTAAATTTTGAAAGTTCAAAGAGAGTTACTCGTGTAACAGAAGTATAAAATAACAAAGTGTAACGTTTTTAAACGGTTATTCCAACGCAAAGAAACACACATATTAGTCCCATTACGTTAACGAAAATATAAAAAGGATTTATTTCGGGCAACAGTGCGGATGAGTGACGTGTTTTGCCAGTGTTGCCATCTTTTTTAATGCAAACTGTTTAGTGCTATTAACAAATAACCACTGACTTATAGTAAATATAAGCTCAGCAACAGTTGGGAAAGTCCATCAAAATTAATAGACCATAAATGTTTGCAAATCAGAAGGCTATTAACTTTCAGCACATGAATTCATAAATGAATGACGGACATTTGTTTATCTAGCTCACAGTGTTTGCCACTAGCAAATAGTCACATATGCTGACTTTTGACAAAGACATTCGTGCTTCTACTTGTTCGATGAGTGACTATTAAAATTGGGACTGGAGACTGGAAAGGGGTCACTCACCTGACAGCGCCTGGGTCAGCAGCGGTGTATTGTTGTTGGGTGTCAGCTGCCCATTGGTTAGATCAACTGTAAGTGGCAAAAGAGGGCGAGAGGTGTGTTATTAGTGGGGGGCTGGCCAAGGCGGATCGTAAGTAACTAGTCGAGTAAAAGCCGGGCACATATAGGAGGTGCCCGCGACACAAGAGTATACGAAAGTAATCAAGGCTGAGCTCTAAGGTAAATGGGCTGGGGTACATGTAGGATTGGGAGCAGGGATCGGTATATATATATATCTATATACTATAGTGGGTATGGAGTGAGAGAGTATTCGAGTAGGCGATTGTAATACATGTGGCTATAGCTCTGTTATATCGGTGTGCCGCCGTAGAAGCAAACAATCAAAAGCGAAAGTAAACAACTCTAACTAGTCCCAGAACAACTACGATGCCAAACGCAAACACAAAAGACGAACCAAAGAGCGAAAGGAAGTACGTATATAAAGTATAAATGGATGTGTGGGGGGACTGGGGTTTCGGGGGGACTTTCAGGGCTTTTTAGGACGATGACGAGGAAGCGCTAACTGGAACGCAGGTTATGAAAACACAAAGTGCTTGGTTATTAAACGAGCTTTGGGCGGAGGATGTTGACGCTACAGTGACAAAACAAAGCCAAAGCCAAAGCCCAACTAAACCAAACCAAACCAAACCAATCCGAACCCATCCAAACTCAGTTACAACGCTTGGTTTGCCCACTGATGTGCACTTTCCTTTGGGCGCTCCTGCCCGGATTTTCCCCTCCGGTTTTTTCCCCTTTTTGGCCCGTTGTTATCATTGTTATCGTTTCGTTTTTCCTATTTTTTCGTATATTTCCCATTTTTTTGTGGCTGTTCTCCCTTGTTATGGTCACAGCTGCAACAGCAAGTAAAAATACGCCAGCGCCAATATTGAAATGACAACAGAATGCGAATGCGAATGGGAATGCGAATGCGAATGGGAATGTGAGTGAAGGCAAGCGAAAAAATGGGTAACGGGTTATGGCTGGGATCGGAATAGGGATATGGCGGGAATATCTGGGGCCCACGGGAGGAAACGTAGCAGTTGCATTTCCTGCGGAAACACAAAAATTGATGTAACGTAACGTGACGTAACGTAACGAGGCATGTCTCTGGCAGTCGTTCGCTTATTGTAGAGAAAACCCACTCATACCCACACCCACACCCACACGCACACCCACACGCACACCCACCCCTCGCCACCCACTCAGCTCAACCCTTACGACCTTCGTCATCGCCGCTGTGCGTTTTATGGCGCCAATCAACTTTGGCTTACGTTTAGTTTACGTTTTTGTGCGAAATCTCGGTGCGCCATGTTGTTTTCATTAGAGTTGAGTCTGGAACTCACTATAATACAAAGAAGCGCCCGAAAAACCCCGGATACCCATACGGACCGACATAAAGAGCCCGTAAAAGCAGCAGCAGCAGCAGTTGCAATAGCAATAGCAATAGCAATCGCAATCGCACTGGCGGCAACGGTTGCCTTTGTAAATAAATAACTTATTTAGCCGGCGTTCCTTTTTTCGGGCTGCCATTGCCATTGCATGAAATGCGTTTCCGCTGGAACTTGGGGTAGGTACGATAGTGGATCGGTTGTGGGTTTGTGGGAAAATTGCAATTGTCAGTCTTGCGGTTGCGGAAAAACAACTGTTACCAGCTGTCGACCTGGCAACCCTGTTACGGCCACAATAAAAGGTTAAATTGAGACATTTCAACAAACAAAATCGGTCAACAGAAGACATTTACATGATCACGATACTGCACAGTTTCAGATAAAGTTTTTGTTCAGGGGTGGGGTGAACTTATATTAAAACTAGGGTATACATAAAAATGGGTACTTATATACGTATACGTATGTGGGGTTATACATCTTTGATGGTTACAGCTGTTTGCTACTAATGAGTGTGTTACATGATACAGTTTTTGGTAAATTAAATGCTATGTCGAGCTACTTTTTCGTCCGACGCTTGGGCTAATTCGATATTGTTAGTTTTTGATGTGTGTTAAATTTTGTATAAAGCAAAGTTTCTCAAACAGAAGAACAGAACACTACACAGAAATATATATTTGTATTCCAACTACGACTGGCGCCCAACTCGGGGCATTCAGTTTACAATTTTGTGTTTGTTTTTTTATTGCGGTCTTTGCTAAAACTTTCTCTATCATCTAACAGTATACATACAGTTAATAATGTGGAAAATTGTTCGAATATAGAGCCAAAAACGGTTATAGGTTTAATAAAATGATCAATACGTATATAAAAAGAGTATAATGCTTGTACGAATATGCATTGGAACAATAAGACGACCATTAGCTGACCTTGTTGACTGCGGAGTGTTTGAGCTGCTGTTCTTCTTATTTGGCTCCTGCTGCTTCTGCTGTTGCCGCAATGTCCTTGCCAAGTTGCTGTCAGAATATTACGCATACGCCCCGATGGCCACTTTGTCATTCACTTGGCCCCGTCAATTCCACTGCCTTCGAATCGCTAATAATGGGAGCGATGGCAGCCAATGCCCCAAAAGGATAGACTTTTGCTTTCGGCTTGCATCCGCATTTATTTTATTTTTCGCTTTATTTATCTTAGTTTTGTGCATTTATTTAGTTAATAACTCGTTTTCCATTTCCATTTCGATCTCGATTTCGTTTCTGCGCAAGCAAATGGTTTTCTTGTCTCGTTTGAAGCGTTTTCTTATAAATCACAGTATATACGTGTAGAATACATATTGGAATATGCGTGGGTGTGTGTGCTCGTGTCTGTGTGTTGCCATATAGGTTTTGTAAATAACTCGCAAGCGTTTGGTAATTGTCAATTTAAATAGTTGCCAAATACCCGAAGCAGTTTCCGGGCATCCGGATGCCACAGCGTTTCGATAATTGCATTCAATTAACTAAGTAACAGCTTATCCAACTATATAGAGTTATTGACCGATCTTTTTGTAATAGGTTCGAGAGTGTGTGTGTGTGTGTGTTTAAATAGCTAGGCGTGTGTGTGTGGGTGAAACTTACATGGAGAGGTCATTGAAAAATTGAATTTTCCATTAACTTAAGAGAGATTTGTTGTCTTTGATTTTTGGTTTTTCTTTCTTTTTTTTGGCGCTGCTAAGTTGCTTTCGAAAATGGATGGACATTAATATTGTATTTTTCGTTATTGTACAAATCAAATCGATTCACGCTTCGTATAAAATGAGTACTCAACTTAGCTTGTAAACGTCGTATATTAAATATGTATATAAATATTCATGTATATAAGGTATAGTATATATGTATGTATATAGTAATGTCTATATGTATTTAAATAGAAATGTCGAAAAATTTCGCTCGTTTTTGGTTTTTGGTTGCCATTTTGGAATTCTTGCGATGCACCGATGAAGGAAGGAATTTATATAGTTTTGAATGCTTCAAGGCTTCAATTCGTATGTGGGCCAAATGCGGTTTGCTAATACATATGAAACGGAATAACATAGCTACGGATAATGGACAAATCTACTAATTAATGAACTTTAGCTATGGCAAAAATCTCTGCACGTTTGCTAATTATCTAAAAACTCATGGGACCACCGACAACGACGGAAGCAAAAACAAAAACCAACTGGAAATGGACATGGAAAGCGCTGTGGAGAAAGGAAAAATTGCATACGTAATGTGCAGCAAATTAATTAAAGGATAATAATGGCACTACATGTGACAGGCCTGGTAAAATTTGTTGTTATCTAAATGTTTTTCCATGTGCACTTTTGCAGTTGTTGTGGGGGTAGCAACTAATTTATGCATACAGGGACTAAAAATGAAATTTGCATTTAAATGCTACGGTAAAATAGTTTTATAAATAATAGATAGCGTCCCTGAAACGGGATAAAAACGGTCACAGGTCGGGGTGTAAAAAATCAGGAGATATATGGATTTGAGTGGGCGGGGAGCGTATGAAGATCGAGTATAGTTCGCTATAGAGTTTCGTTATACAATAATTGTGTCACACAGCTAATTAGGGTTCTAGAGACATATATTATAGTGTACGCATGTCTGTGAGTAATTGAGTGATTATGCTGGCCTAGATCTAAACGAATCTAAGTACTCGATTACATCCGATTACGGAACTGCACTAGGATTAGTAGGGGTGCTAACTGCTCTATATGCGAGTATACGTAATTGTAGGTTTTATAAGTTGGGGATGCCTCTAGACACTACAGATACTGCTGCGGTAATTGGTTAACTGCTCCAATAATACAAGTATATGGGGAATACTTTTCGGAAGAGTCTAGTATGTAAGTTTCGTGTTTGTATGTGTGTTCATCAGCTATATAGACTGCAGCTCTAAGTGTGTGTGTTTTTGTGTCGAAGTTACATTTTCTATGTAGTTCTTTTCAAATCTCTCGTGAGTTCTTTGCAAGTTTGCTCCACTCTGGAGTACTTTCGTGGCTTTAATAGTGGATTTTACTTTGGTTGTTGCAGTGGTTACCATTTACCGTAGATACAAGCTAATCTAACGCTCTGGATAGCATATCTCTTCCAGCAGCTGTTGGCATTGGAGTTTAATGGCTGTACCTACTTGTCACCGCTCGAAAGATATAGTTACTTGACACAGAAAAAGGGCGGCAATGAAAACGGAACTCTGGATCTCAAATTCTCATTTGCATTCTCATTCTCAATCTCAGACTTGTGCGATTCGATTCGATTCGGGTTAGTTCTCGCTTAGAAATTTATGTTGCCCAGAAACTGCGATTTGATGGCCGCGGATCGAGCCGTGAGCGCCGTGGCCAGCGGCAGGGTCAACGCCTGTTGGTGGTACGCCGACTGGGCGTGGCTTGGGGCGCCACCGGAGGGGGCGACACCTGTCGCCGCAACACCAGAGGCGGCGCCAGCGGGGCCACCTCTGCTGCGGCCCGGGGTAGCGCTACAAGCGGTACCATAACTTCTACCGATTCCGCAAATTGTCAAGCCTACAAAATCATACGAGATACAAGATAGATGAAGAGAGAGATAGAGAGAAAGGGGGGCAAACAAAAAGGTATAGTCTGCACTAGGGACCAGATCTGTAAAACTATCGATACAGACTTGCTGTGTACTACAAAGGGCAGGTATAAATGGCTTTCATTTAACAACGATTTTAGCGTATTCCATTATAATGAAAATTATTGGAAGACGATACAAATTAGTTATATGGAACATGTATAACCTATGAATAAATAATTATTTTCAATAGTTATGATGAGAAATGCTTTGGATCCATAGAAGAAGAAAGTAAACTAGAATAATGGATCTATTGACTCGTTTGATAACAGCAAAAAACGCATCGATTTTTTCGATAAACGTATCGATATTTTTACAGTTCCAGCTTGGGCGGGGAGTTTTATGGTGGCAGGGTATCAATTCACATCAGCTATGCAGATGCCCTAGTAGCTAGAGTAGGGTCACAGTGTTCGGTGGTGAGCAAATGTTAGACTCAAGGCCAAGCAGCGTCAATGACATGTATCCGCAGGATGCGCAGGACTCAATTCTAGGGGGTTCTAGATGTATCGTGTAGTGGCTTATGCTGTGAGTTTTTCGATTGCGTCCGATCTTCAGCTATTTGTGCATTGATATGACGAACGCGTTGGTATTTTAGTTTTAAGAGAACTGCGATTTATTTCATTAATGCTTATGATATCTGAGTAATACTCGATAGATTGTCATTGGGCTGGGGATCGTCCTACGCCATGTAGTCGCCAATTAGTACTCGATTCTCCGGCACTACGCCCATAACACTCGCTGCAAAAGCAAACACAAAGACAGAAGAGAAATAATAAAGAGTGTGGCAAGCGAAACGGCAAGAAACATGGAGGTTTGAATGCATCTGACGATGAATACATTGAGCACTAACGAGTAGTCACAAGTACTATCTGAATTAGTAATGCTTATGATGGTTATTGCAACTACGCGAGGTCCTTCGTCATATCAAGCGGCACTGACTGGTTGGAACGGTGGGGTTTCAATGGGTTATGTTCAGTTTTATTCACTGGGATTGCTTCACACTCTCACTCACATACAAATGATCAACAGGGTCTGAGTACGAGTCTGTGTGCAGGCTTAGGTGAGTGTGTATACACACAACTATAGTTGTGGATGTGATTGTGGTTGTGTCTATTGGGGCATGAGCCGCACTTACCAGTTGGATAGGGCAGTCCAAAACTGGGATAGCCCGAGTATCCGCGACCAGCGGCATAGGCAGCGTAGGCAGCTGCCGGAAAACCTATGGAAGAAAAGGTATCTATTAGATTCAGGATGATCGTGGATGCATCGTGGGGATTACTCACCTTCGGGCAATGTCCCCAGTCCCCACATGATGTTATCTAAGGGAGTCGCATGGAAAACAAGAGAGAGCACAGAAGAGAAAGGCATAAAACAGATAATTACTGACACTCACACGATTATATCATAGCTAATGAGTTCAAACAAAAGAGTATCGAGATTATATCAGGACTAATTGTTATAGAGTGTAAATATGAGCGACTGCTTTACTATACGTAATCGTAATGTGTACTTAGAGTTCTAGTTAAGTGTGAGTGGCAACTAAGGAACTGCCGCTATATACTAGTTATATATATGTTTGTTTCGAGTTCTAAGAAATGTTTTGAGACTGCACTCGATTTTGTATCCAGTGCATAACTAGTGGGTGGAATAAATTCCGCGCCATATTTGTTATTTTCTGCATTAACAGCCTTGATTTGAGCTATGTTTATATAGAGTTATATGTAGAGTTACATTTTTCGTTTACACAATTCTAAACACTTAATATATATGTACGCAGTTATGATCTAAGACATTTAGTATCTATGCTATGATTATAAATTTGAATAATTTGGCTAATTATATATTTTTAAGTCTCTTTAGCGGGGGCAATTCTAAGGCCTGCCGTTGTGCATTTCTACAAAAATGCTCCATATCTCCAGGCCATTGCCCCGCACCGCAACTAATTAATTAGGAAAACTTAGGAGAGAGTTAATACAAATCTGAACTAAACACAGAAAACTATAAATTTGTGGGCTAGATAAACACTACAACTCAAGAGGAGAATATAGGAAGGTTGACAGCTATTAGATGTTAATCAAAGAATTTGCATTAATTTTGTTTCGGCCTGGAGTCACTTCCGTTGCGCATTCTTGCCACTTTCCCATAAATTTCTTGGCCATTTCTCCGCCATGACCATTTGACCATCAGCATCACGTTCTCTGTCTCGTTCGTTCATCTTGGGCATCGAAGGACTCTGGCGATGGTGCGCTTCCTGTACATACAAGTATATCATCCTTCCACTGCTGCAACTTACGCTAATGTTACACTGGATTTAACTAGAGTCGAATTTGAGTTTGATTCGAATTTGAATTTGAATTTGAGTTTGAGCGCTTAATGCGCTTATCGTAATGCAATAGATGTGTGTATGTGGTTATTTATGCATGTATAATAAATAGCTAGTTTCGAGTTTAGTCAAATATTAATGGCTATGGGCAAACATTATGTGTTTGTACGTAAGTACCCGAACTGGGAGACGGCGGGCGGTCGGGGAAGTTGGCCATCAGCTGTCTGAGCCGTAATTTGCCTGGGCCCTGTAATTGGCCCGAATGCATTGCACATTGCACACTGCACATTGCACATTGCACAGAGCACAGAGCACAGTGCACACATCCATTATCCATGATCCATTTCGGAAAATTACACTCCGACAGCTGTCCGGCCGCTACGATTGCATCTGTCCAGTCCGGTCTCTCATCAATTTTTCAAAACTAACTTCGTTACACACATCGCATTTCTAATACTCGAGCGGCCTTCTTCGGCTGGCTTACTTAATTTGTTATCCAACTTAATCGCTAGTTCGATACATTCGCTAGGTTCGAATCCGCAGCCGCTCTAGGTAAATATGCCTTTAAAGAGCTATTGATATGAGTTTACGTATAGGTTGTTAAGTAATGTTTGATATACAAGAGAATCCGGTTTTAAAACATAAATGAGTGTTTCCTACGGAGCTGATGACTTTGTTGCTGTTTCATTTGAAACATGACTCGCTTTTGTTACATTCTTAAGTTCTAGGAAAGTCGCCAGCTGTCTAAGACATATTACGATCGCCGTCTAAGTGTAAGGTCTAAGTGTATCGAGTGTATCGACAACATCTAAGCAGCTCTCTAGGACCTGCACTTAGCCTAGATATGTATATCTTAAGTAAGTCAAGTTCGCTTAGAGTCTATGGAAAGAAAACGAATGCGCCGCTATTTGAGTAATTTAGTTAAATAACGCATACGCCGCGTGGCCTAAACGCAGCTTAGACAGTCACAAAACATAAGTTACGATATATAGTACATATGGAATAAGTAAGTACATGGCTAGTTGTAAGTTGTAAGAAGTACACGTAATCCTAGGCCTAGCCGCTTAACATATTTTTTGGACATTGAGACGGAATGAGAGTCATATATGTACGAGTATATAGGTGTAGTCGCGTGTCTTGTGGGTGTGTTTGCTTTCGGGATTAGGGTGGCCAGTTTGGACTATCTGCGGATAGTGAAAGCTGAGACAGCTGAAATGGCATTCAATGCCTAGAGGTCTCACTGTGGCCTGGGCGGTCAGATTCCGGGCAGCTGGTACAGTGAGGCCGCTGCTGCCGCCGCGGAATTGGCGCCCGCCCCTATCTCCATGCCGCCCTGCATGGCCAGCAGTTCGCCGAGCGGATAGTGGGCGGCGGCCAGAGCGGCATTCTGCCGCAATTGAGCCTGTTGCAGCTGGGCGGCGGCGGCGGCAGCGGGCGCACTGGCAGCGGCCGCTTGAAGGGCGCCCAAGGCGGTGGTGGGGGCACGAAGACCGCTGCTGACCGCCGCTGCTGCCAGGAGTCGCTTGTAGCCGACGACGGCAGCGGCGTCCGCGTAAAGGGAATTGGCCAAGGCGGCATTGCTCTGGCCCGCTGCGAACTGCAGCAGAGAGGGCGTGGCGGGCGGAGCGGGATTGGCGAGCGGCAGCAGACCAGGTGCGGCACCAGCTGCAGCGGCCACCACTTGGGCCAGGCTCTGCTGTTGCTGCTGCTGCTGGGCGGCCGCAACCTGTTGTTGTTGGTGCTGCTGCTGTTGCTGCTGCTGCTGGGCGGCAACCACTGCTGCCGCCGAGAGGTGGGCGGGCAGCGGGTAGGGCGTGTAGCGCAGCGAGCTCAGCAACTGGCTGTGGGCGTGGGTGTGCGGGTGGTGGGCGTGGCTGTGACTGTGGCTGTGGGCGGGTGACTGTGGGTGTGTGTGGTGCAGCTGCTGGTGGTGCTGTTGCTGCTGCTGCTGCTGTTGCTGCTGCTGCTGCTGCTGTTGCTGCTGGTGCTGCTGCAGCACGGACGCGGCAGCGGCTAAACTACTCGGCAGCAGGCCGGCGGCGGCGGCGGACGTGGCCGCCGTCGAATGGGCGTGGCTGCTGCCCCAGACTACCAACTCACCGTATGCGGAACGCCCGGCAGCCCGCGTCTTGGCCAGATTGGCCGGCAGCATCACCTCCTTCGGCTGCGCCTTCTTGCACTCGACCTGAAAGGACATAAATCATTGTAATCCAAATGCAATCCAGATGTAATATAGCTATTTATGTGCAGCTAACTTTCTGGATCGCTTAAACTGGTAAGCATTTTAGACCTGCATTAGGTTTTCATTACATGACCTAGCAAACTGGAGTCTGAAACTTAATACATTTGTGAACATGCTTTACAAAAAATTCTTTAAAAATAAATTTTGACAGTTTTTCCAGTTTGGCAGGAAGTTTCGGACTCGGACTCAAGCATTTAAATAAAACCCACAAATTGATGACCGATTTAGGGCCGTATTTTACTGCCTATGATCAAATATAAACTCAGAGTCGAATGAGTGGATGGCTAAGCCTCTTGGGCTGCGATTCAGACCGCCACGCTTCACTTACCATTTTGTTGTTTATCTCGTGGAAATGAATTTCGCAAACTTTGTCTACCACATCTTCGCTTTGAAATGTAACGAAGCCAAAACCTGCAAGAGAAAAGAGCCAAGAGCCAAAGTGAGTGAGTGAGAGTGGGCAAAAAAGTTTAAGGGCTGCAAAAATTGAACGAAATATGCTTTTGTGCGAGCGAGCGGCTAAATAATTTACTCAAGTGTCGAGACCGAGACAGCGGCAGTGTTCACCCCTCACCCCTGCCACCCCGGCCACTCCCCCCTTTGAACCACCCGCAACCCTTAACCCCTGCCATTTCAGGATTGCTGTCCTCCGGCTGACCTCAATATGCATCCCCTGCAGGGCCTCAAGTGGCGGCTGGGCGAGTAATTCAAACACTGGCCGCTCCGAGTTTACATAATAAACTTTGGCCAGCGGACACAGCTCTCAGCCACGCCCCCTTGGCCCCCGTAGCCCGCCTCCCCGGCCCCTCGAGGAGCGCCTTGGGATCGGGGCATAATAACTTTGTCCTAATGGCCGGCCAGTGGAGCCATTTTTGATATCTTCCAATTGGAGGCTGACGGAGAACTTAAATTCCTGGAATGTCAAGTCATTCCGGGGGCTTTGGGTTTTTCTAGGACCCGAATTGGTAAAGGATTTATTATGGCTTAATTAAATTTCTTCCATTTGTTGCCGCTGCAATTTGTGCTGGCAAAAGTTTAAGTTGCTAGAATTTCTATTCAGCAAGGATTGCATTGGGTTCTTGCTATGTATTAAATGTGCTTATATACTTTTTACTCGCTTTTAATTGAGGGGTAAATAAATTGCTAGAATTATATTCTATTTGTTAAAGAGCACTTCTGTGAAATCAGTTTAGAATTGTCTGAATTGAGCTGTTGCCAAGCCCAGCCTAAAATCGGCCAAGAAGTTGCAATGGCTTAATTATAGTTTTTAAAACGGCAGAAACTACTCCTTGAATGGCGCACAAGTAAGAGGCAACTTCCTATCAGATATCAGATGGGGCTCTATGAAATCCCCTTTCAGGCTTTCGCCTTTCTCCTGCGCCGGCTTTCTCCCCTCCGATTTCGCCACTTTGGCCTTATCGGGGCTTTTCAATTAGCGCAATTGTCTGAGATTTCACATGGCCGAAAAGAAGGGCTCCCTTTCTCTGTGCAATTAGCAAGGCCAAGTGCAGACACCTGATGCCCCGGCGCCCGCATTTTGTTTGTGTACGTGTGTTTGGCTTGTCGTGCGGGCGGTGGGCGGCTGGGTGGCTGGGAACGGGGGGCGTGGCCTGGCTGGGCGTAACTGACAAATTAGTTGGAACAAGTAACTGTAAACACGCAGGCTTATTAGCGACATGTGCCGAGCTGAAGAAGCTCCGAGGTCCTTTTGCTCAAGACAACGTGCGGGCTGCTTCCTTCGCCTCCTTAAGTGTGTTTGTATTTGTTTTAATTATATAAAATTAGCGCACGTTGCAATGCTGCACGCCAGCTACACGGCGAAATAAAATTGTGCAATTAAATGGTAGTGCCAAAAATGCTTATCGGTTTCTTAAATTACACTAAATCCTTAGATCGAGATCGCTGCTTCAAAACCTAGAAAAATGTGGTTTAAAAGTACAGCAAGCATTATTCCTACGAGACGGACGTAAAACCAAGACATCTATTATATCGTAATTTAAGAGCTCCTTTTCCATGTCTATTTGCTTTCTCGGGGGCTTCTATTCCATTGCAACTTCATAAATCAGCCGTGGAACAAATGAAGCCGGCTAGTTTCGGCAAGCTCCACGCTCCACGCTCCACGCTCCACACGTAACTCAATCAAAAATGTATCTGCTGGATACAAATGTGCCCGTGTTGCATCAGCCATGAAGCAATGCTCGTTGCCCAGTTAATTCCGTGGCTTGAGGCTTATGGCTCTGAGGTGAGTCTGAGTGCTCAGCCTGGCCGCCATTTTTACCTGTCGAAAATTTCCCGCAGGACGGAGCTGGAGCGATAGGAGCTGACGATGGTCTTGGCAACTGCAGAAATTGCACACTCATGCATGTTATTGCCAAGAAGCGGACACAGATATATGCTCCAGGCAAAGGGGGCGGCGGTGGGGGCGAGCGGCTAGGACTAGGACCCAAAGCCAGCTGCTGTTATGACTGCGCTGTGCCGGCTTGCCAAAAAGAAAAATTACAAAATTTTCAATTTTAATATTAGTGGCGGCTGGCGACGCCAACTGCCAAGCCGGCCCCCAAAAGTTGCCCGATCCTCCGCACCACTCTCCACCCACCACCCACCAAAACCACCCACCAAACCACCCAACCTCCTACAATGGACTGCTTAGGCGCACGTTGGGCATGTCCTTGGCTTGCCAAATGAAATTCATAGCATACTTTCGGTCGCAGCTCGGCTGCGCTGAACTCTATATTTATACAGGCAAGATTGCTTAAGGAGAACTTTAAAAACACTTTAAGGTTGTTCAACTTGGGTGCTGTAAATTTATTGAGTATTTTATGAGTTTTTCCTTGAGATTCAATAATATTTTCTTTGTCTTTAAGGTATTATATGCATTGCATCACTTTAAATAAGCTGTCTAAAAAGAGAAGTAGTTCCCCTTTTTAGATGCGCAAATTTTCAGCTTTACGCTTTCGCTTGAATTTAATTAAACAATCTGCCAGTTTCATGGTCCAAAAATAGAGTACACCCCAGCGCATCTCCACTGTAATGGCAATTGCCCTCGCCCGCGTCGTTGTCATCCCAGTGGTTGTTATTGCTATTTGGGCCTGCCTATATTGTTTTATGGCATATTCATATATCGCTGCCTATAGCTTGTTATTTTTTATCCATATGAAACGGTTGTAGTTGTAGTTGTAGTTGTAGTTCTGGGCCAACTGCCACCGGTCTTGTTAGCAGGAAAAGGGAAAAACGCCGCTGCAATTTTCAGTGACCAGGCTTACGGATATATGGGCTTGTGAGTTTCGGCGCAAGTGTGAGTTCTGGGCCACCACGTTAGAATGTCTGTCTATTTGTCTATTTGTCTATCTGTCTATATGTCCGCTCGTCCGTTGGTGTGTGTGTGTGTGTATGTGTGTCGCTGGGCTGCACACATGATTTATGAATGAGTAACAAACTTGCTGCCGTGTAGCCGGAGCAACCAACGACGTCTTTTCCACTTTTCTTTCCTTTTTCTACTTTTTTCGTTGCCCCTTCTTTATTATAGTTGGCGTGTGTGTGTGTGTGTGAGTTTGTGTGTACGTGGCAATTGCCACATACAAATACAGACATATATAGGGGGCTCTCGGATCGGATCGATAAAATGCAATTACAGGCATATCGCAAGTGCCAGTAGGCAACGGACTCCGACTCCTCATGGCAATAAGGTCGTACATCGTACATCGTCCGACTGTACAAAAAGTCGCCATCGATGTCCTCGTCCTGCCTCATCCTACCCATCCTGCCCCATCCTCCGGCTCCATCCCCATTCTCCTGGCTGGTGGCAATGAAGGCTCCTGCTACAACTAATACCCTTTGATTAACGACACACATTTTCTATTGACTTGCCCGCTGGTCGCCTGTGAAGTTGGGCAGTTGGCGTTTACCGCTCGCTACCAACAGCCAACAGCCAAGAGCAGCAACAACAATGAAATCCTGCATATTTCATCCTGCGATCGATGCACGCAATTGTAATTTGCAAGGCTGACATGTTCCGGCCAAAATGAATTGCTTGGCCAATGAGTCGTGGTCATGTCACCGGCTAAACTGTCCACCCAATGCATTTTTAATTGGAAAATTGGCAAATCAGAAAGTCGCTAAAGTAGGTGATTCGTGGAAATTTGCTCAAGTAGCTTCCCATGGCCTTTATGGCTCCTTGGTCAATGGGCTGATGTTAATTGGGCTTATGTCATTGAATTGAATGTTGTCAATAAATGAAAGCATTTAATTTAGGAATTATGAAGAACATAACAGAGCAGGTGCTTCCATTAAAGAATCGCAATATAATAAAAGCTTGAATCTTCAAGTTCATAACTAATATGTGGGAGATACTCTGCTCTAAATTGAACTATAAAAAGGTGGGGAAATGTGTGTTACTCATTTTATATTGCTCATTATTGCCGCCTGGTCTGCGAATGCCTAAATCTTTGATGTGATGGCTGGGCGGCCTTCGCATTACTTGTAAAATAGCTGATATTTGTTTTTATTGGCTGCCGACGGGCTGGCTGGCCATTTTTAAGCCTTCGCTTTTTATGTATGTACGAGTATGACTGCATCATCATGCAGTTTCAGCGTACTCCAGCGTCCAATTAAGCGAAATGTTCTGTGGGCCCACGGCTCTATCTCCGCACCCCTGCCGACTTGCCACGCCCCCGCCCCGCCCCGCCCGCCACTCGACGCCCACTCTTTTTTGCGCTTATCTGCGCTGCGGCGCACAGAAGTATGCTACAATTTTTTATGGGCCGCGCACAAGCAAAAATCATGTTTTCTTATTCCCGTGTGCGTAATTTGAAGGGCGCAAAAGTTAACAATGTCCGGTTGTCGGCGGTGAGGGGGTGGGAGCACCCACCCTCTGGTGGGGGGGCTGGAGGGGATGGCGGCGGGCAAGTTGCGGAGTGATTGTGCACCAACAACTATTGATGCATGCGGCTGTTCGTATCCGTGTGAGCTAATTACTTTTGAGCAGTGGCAAGGACCGCTGTGCAGCTGAATCTGGATGTGTGGGTGGGTGGCTGTGGATGCGAATGCGGTGGGCTCAGTGTGTGTTTTTGGTTTGTGCGAAATTGGGCACATCAATCTTAATGCGCCGTGTCTCAGGTTGTAGCCCGATTCCCGATAGGACTCCTCTGGCCTGCCAGAGGGACATGTCAATGGGACTGGAGACCCGGTCGCAATGCGAAATTCGGGGCGTCATTTAAAACTTTAATAGGCTAAATTGACAACGACAAGGCTACGAAGGACACAACAGGACCCAAAACGGACAGGCACTGCGGGAAAAGCCACAAAATCATGTCACAGCGAAACATCGGCTCAAGAATGATATACATTCGACAACTCATATTTAAGATGGGAATATATTCTTCACATGATACAGATCCAAGCATCCTACCATTTAGACCATAGAAATGGGCTTGTTCATCAAGTTATTTAATTTCCACATTAAGTAGTTGCCATAACTAAGGAGTTAAGCCAATTGGTTCCGGTTTCAGGAGCTGACTTGTGATAACGCCCGTCTTTTCTGGCAGTGCAGGCCAAGCCGGACATTCTGACAGCCGCCCGGAATCCGGACGGACAGCTGGACAAACGCAATGGACGCAGTCGTGCGCTACAAGTTCGTGTAGCGGATGTACACTGGAGATTTAAGCCTTCTGCCGGCCAGCGCACCTCAGCTGATGACCTCGCTCGCCTGCACCGCCCACCTGCCACCTATGTATGTATGAACCACCCATAACCCACCACCCACCGCCATCCAGCCGGCAACAACCCTCCACTGGCGTAAGAGGATGGCCCGTCTCTTATGGCCCTTATATCCGGTTGCATTGGCAGGTAATCTTTTCGGGTCCTTCTACATCCTGTAGCCCGTCCATTTTAATGCAACAACGTTTTAAAACTGTATTAGCCCTTTGCTTATGAGCATCCTGCCATGCATGATACATTGACATTGTGTAAGAGTGGAAGAGCATTCGGGTGTTGGAGTCCGTGCATTTGCTGAGCTCCGCACTTCCGGCTCGTTACAGCACGGAAATGGGCCGCAAATGTTTTGTGGCATTGTTGCGCTCCTAACGATAACGATTAGAAGGACTCACCTCTGTGCCGATTGGTCTGCTTATCGAACATCAACATTGCATCCTCGATCTGAAAAGAGTAAAATAGAAGGTGTAGACTCGTTAGAAAAGTAGGAAATATACAGCAGTTTGATATGTTTGCTAGCACGTTTGTGCATCATTGGTCTGTGCGGAATTTCAGATTTAAAGTTCGCTCGTCAATCGCTGAAAGTTGTATTGTTATGTTGGCAAGAACAAAATCACTAACATTTTATAAGACTTCCTTTTCCTATGCTAAGATCTGGCCATTTTTCATTTCCCAACCAGTTTGCCGCGACTTTGCTGCACTTCCTCGCTTCTTTGTTTCAGTTGGTGCATAAGCATTCGAAGTTTGCCTCCTCGGTGCGGGCAACTCAATTAATGGCCTGAATAAATGTTCGCAGCAGACAAAACTGCTGCTAATTGCAAAGTGAGTGCGCACAATGGCCAACACACACACACACACACACACACGCATACAGGGAGAGTGCTGACCCAACCGAGCAACCGCCCACAATACGCCCCCCACTTTTGAGGGGGCGCAAAACTTTTACCCATTATGGCGCAAAAGAACTTATAATGATAGTTGACTGTCAAACCAGCGCACTAACTAACTAACTAACTGCGCTGACTTTCCACTGGCTGACTGGCTCATTACAGACCCTCTAAATGGACATGAGGGAATGATGAACTGCCCAAGTGACTGGCTGACTGACTGGCTGACTGACTGACTGAATGTCTGATTGACTGACTGTCATTTGATATTTTAATTGAGACAGCCAATGAATGCACCGAATGTGCTGCTAAATTGGCCATCACAATCAGATTGCGGCTCAATTGCATTGGTCAACGGGAATTGTGCAGTTGTTAAATTGAGGCATAAATGATAGATGACAGATATCAAATGAATTTTGAATTCAGACAACAGCATGAGATATTTATATTCATAATATATTATTGGGCCTTAATTAAGGTACTTATTGATACTGCTTAATTGGAATTTGTCTAATTTGTTTGCTGCTTTTGGCTGCTGTGTCCAAAGTTAATACCATTGGCTAAATAGAAGCTCAGTTAACATAGCGAACTAGATGGCATTTGGTCCTTTAGAAATGTACGCATTCTTCACTTGTGACCGCAAATTTACCAAAGTCTGTCCAATTAGCATATATTATTAGCATATATATAAAAGTTAAAGGTTATGGCGTCAGTGGGGGACAGTTTACCTACTAGTATATTGCATTTTTGAAATGATTTCAATGTGATCGGGTTAGGATTCCCACATGTATCCTGCCACAAAACAGAGGTCTTGGTGAGGCGCCGCATTTTCTTTGACTTCTTTGAATCCTTTGGCCCGAACTCAAGGGCCAGGACGTCTTGTGCGCCACTCAATATTATAATGTGACAACTTTGCCAGCGTCTCGCTGCTCGCTCGCCCAACTGCTAATTGCACACTTCTTGTCAAAGTTGCGATGCGGCCTTTAATGAGCTGCAAGCTGACCCCGGATGCCTCCGACCTCCCTCCGTCTTGGCCAATCTTCTCCTGCCTGACTGCCTGCTTATGGGCCATTGATTAAGCTTAATCAATGCGCTTAAGGCAACTCGCAACTCCTGTGCACTGTAATTAAAATGCAGCCACGATGCCAGCGAAGGCGGCCTTATAAAAATTAATTAAGCTTGCGCCGCAGTTTTCCGCCCACCAGCCACCCACCCACCGCCGGAAAACTCTGCAGCTTCTGGGGCTGCACGGGAAAAAAGCTTTTCCTTGGATCTCAGTGCTTTGAATTCGATTTATGAACTTCCATACAAATTTCATTTCATTTAATATGAGTTTTGAATTAAAAGTTGATCAACACCAAGCAGCGTAAAATACTTTCTGAAATTTAATCAGTGTTGAGATGCTTTCCACGTGCACAAAAATGTATAATCATTTCCTACTCAGACTAAGCTTTCTACTAAAGCTTAAATACAACTTAACACATTTTTAACTGTCTGATAGTAGGGATATAATATTTGAATACTGCTGCAAATTTCAACTTGCTGAATGTGCAATGTGAAATCTAGTACTTGAAGTTTGGGATTTCTGATTTCAATAACATATTCTATTATTATTAAGGGCTTTTTTTCCGTGCAGTGTAGCTGTTGTTCGCGCCTCGCAATTCGCAGCTCTTCAAGTGCAGCCGCCGATGCAACCAGCTACAACATTGTTTTTCAATTAACAATCAACAACAATGCCGCAACACAATACAAACGAACGGCGAAGGTTACACGCGCCAAATGACACAAAAATTGCCAGCTCAGGTGCTGCAAGGATAAGGGGCGGTGTGCCACAGGACTGCGGATGGGGCGTGGCAGGCGGGGCAGCACAATTGCAATTGTTGTTGTTAATTAAGCGGGCAAAACTGGAAAAGCGAACACTGTGCTCGAATTGCGGCCTGTTGTTAATGTCCGCCCATCGATGGCCAAATGGCAGAATGGCCAAATGGCCAAATGGCAAAATGGCCCTCTGCCCCACCGATAGCTGTCATAATTACACTGCCCCTGGATCGGTGGCCAGCTCATTATGCCACCCATTTTCCGATTTCCCCGGTTTCCTCGATTTTTCCACTCCCTTTCCTCATCGGGCAGCCGCAAACTTTAATTCTATTAGCAAACGTTAAATGAACAGCAACAAAAGGTGGGTGGTACTCGATATGTACGAGTATGTATGCAATGTGGGTTACCGTGGGTTGCCGCTGAAATAATAGCAAATTTCTGCATTTCGCAATAAAAATAGAGTAAATACAATTTGCTTTTTACTAATCGTATTATATACTATATGTTCTGTTGAAAATATTTGTTCCAATTGCCGAGTTCTTGTACTAAGTTTCATTGATGATGTGTTCAAAATCAGATTTTTTGCACAGCCATAGGGTTCCGAGATAATGGACTAACTTTAGCAATTAACTGAAGCCAAAAGTGCTATTATCTTGGCCGCAAATGTATGTAAGTGTGTGTGCCACTAACAAGCAGGCGCGCGTAATTTTATTTAAATCTGAATTCATTAATTCGTCATAATCCCCAATCATTGCGCCGCCTGGCATCGCGGAGAACTTCAAAAAGCCATCAACGACAGACGTTGCTGCTGTACCGCCCCACACCACCCACCCCTTTCCCCCTTTCCCCCTGAAGCTCAAACGCTCAAACAACCTTCCACCCATCGAACCGCCCAAAAGCCGGGCCATTCATTTGGCTCATTTTGTGTACAAAAATGCTGCGCTCAGTGGAAACGGCGACGCTTCATTATCGTAATCGTTATATAAAACAGCGGGCAGACTACTGAAACTCAGACGATGACTACAGTGTCAGACATCTGTATATGTACGCGCCTGTCTGTATGTATTTTATGCGTTCTGCGGCACATTATGTGCTTACAGTGAGTCCTAGACGAGGCGACTGCCGTTGACATTAATGAATGTGGCCGACAAAGAGTGCTGCGGGTGATTTTTATTTGAGTTCCCGCCCCAGAAGAATTAGGCAGTGACCGGGCGAAACAAAATAGAAAATAGAAAATAAAAAATATAAGCAGGCTGGAAACAGGAAAAGGTTAAAGTCATATTTCCACAGTTAGCGGAAACAATTCTCTTCACAGTTGGGCAGACAGTACACTTTTAATCAAGAGTCTTTACTTGGAGATGCATTGTCTCAATTTAAAGTTGTAACGTATGCGGAAAAGGATTAAGATATAAAAGTTGATTAGTTGTTTGAATGGCACCATAATACATTGGGCGTATATATATCTCACCAACGGAAAGTAAGCAGCTTAAACGGGCTGGTTCTTTGAAATGTAGCTTATGGTTCAGTTGGTGAGAGCGAAAAGTGCATAATGACTTAGGCTTGATCGGAAAATGGCAGCTAGGAAGCGAACAGCTTGTGGTTATGCGAACAATCGTGTTTGTTAGCGATTTCGTGGAGCGCTCCACTTTGCCGGAATCCGGGAATGCACATTCTATAGACACCCGTATATTAATGCCGCAACGGATGGCTGAAGCTCTGCCCGGCCACTCGTTAAATCGTCAGCAATTCCCACCCTTCCTCGTCCGTCTGCGAACCGCTTTATCCTGCCCATCCAGGACGCCTTTGGTTTTGTTTCAAAGTCCCCGAAGTTCTAACTGGATAATTTGCAGTAATTCATCTTGCTGGCGGTTTTCTCGATTCTCCGTCGGACTTTTTTCCCTGGCTCCTTGAATCCTTGAATCCTTGGACCCGCTCCGTTTTTTGGGTTTCCCGCTTTTGTATGCCTGCTTGATTGCGACAATTTATACGGCGTCGGGCTTGTCAGGATTTGGTTTTTGGTGGCTGTGGCGGCTGCCTGCCTAGGAAATTGAAATGAAAAAGGACGATTCCCGGCAGCAGACGCTCCTCAAAAATGCCGGGCGAGAGAGCCCCACACAGTCCGTCGATTTAAAGCTGCAACTGAATAGTCATACATCTAATGATAGTCTGTCCGCTGCACTCGGCAGTTACTTATTTTTCGTTTGTGCCACAGCGAAAAAAGCCCCAGCAGATATTGTCGTAGTTGGGGGCGAGCTGTGGAAAAAGTGAACTTTTCCGAGCTGGACGTGTGCGATGCTGGGTGTATCCCGGGGGTGGGACATCTTTCAAAAAACTTTCGCCGGGCGACGGCAAAAAAACAGCATCCAGTTCTTATGTACAATCCCCACCGATGTGCCTGTGTGTGTGTGTGTGTGTGTGTGAGAGTGTGTGGGTATGTGTAAGCACATGACTGCGTGCGGTTGAAATATAGATAAACTTTTTTAAGCTCGTATTTATTACATATTTGGCTGTAAGTAGAATTTAAGTTGCTTTTTGCTACCGACACACGCTGCGTATGAGTAATGCCCAACACCAAGCCACTCACTAACACATAGCAAGTGCGCACAGCTGCGGTAAAAGTTATAGAACTGGATAGTAACTAGCATAATGGAGAGCTGTCTTTGAGATCTATTATCTGCAGTTCGCTGCAATGCCTTAAATCTTGTGGAACGGAATAAATTACGTGCACAGCGCAAATTA